ATGTTCAAAGCAGCTTTTCTGGGGCAATAATACCATACTTACATTCCCCATCAATAGCCAAAAATACCAACCAGTTCGTGTTTATGTTCTAGAACATTGTTTTTGTGCCACATAAAATGTCATGCCCCATAAGAATCAACGAATGTTCACTGATGGAGTAGAAAATAAATAAAACAAAACAAATATATATATATATATATATATATATGGAAGTATCTCATATATATATATATGTATATACATATATATACATCCATATATATATGGATGTATCTTACTTGAAGTTTAGTCTTATCTAAACCTAAGGATATTATATTATCTTTTTGTTTCTTTTGAAAATCTAATTCTTTTCTTCTGTGTATGACCTTTAATCAAAATTAGCATAGTGCCTCCCCATATGGAGTAATCTATTACCACGTAAATGAGATGGAAAGCTAACCTGTGACCAACATATGGAAACAAAGTAAATTTGCTGCTTTCTTCTACTTCTATCAGAGAGAATATGCTTGGCTTTTCCCCTACCAAAGGGATCCTCACAGAAAATTTTAAATGTCACAAAAACATTTTTGTTTTAATTACTCAGAATGGAACCTTTGGTGACTGTGGGATCTCTGAATTGGGAGCCATCACACATGAAGAAAAGCATGTCAATATCCAGGTGATGCTTGGCGCACAGACCCAAGCCCACTGGAAATAGAAGCTGTTCTGATCAACCATTCCAGCAGAACTTTCCCTTAGTCTCAAAATATTTTTATCATTATTACTAGGCTATGACTGCTGTATATCTGTTTAGATAGAGAAATGAAAAAAAAAAAAAAGGTAGTTTAAGTTCAGTACATTTAAACCTGGCACAGGATCTACACAAACATATGCACATATTTTTTACTACCTTGGCTGATAATCAGCAACCTAATGAACAACTGAAGTGCTTAGCACTAGGAGAGTAATAGCACTGAATTCAAGATTTTATGGGTTTTTTTTCAGGTACCATCTATACATCCTCTATCATCTTCCCATAGAATGCACAGGGGTTGAAGTTTTTGTACAGTGCCTAGGACAATGCTAAGCTTATAGTAGTGACCAGTAAATGTTTCTGGTATGAATGGTATAAATCTTGAGATACCTTGGAATTTAGTCTAATGCAATCGTTAGAAAGATGATTAGAAAACTATGTGAAGATATTTAAAAATACCTTTGAGCAAAATTAATTGAAAAAATCAGGATACAGAATGAAATACATAATTTGATTACAACCAAGTGTGACAGAAAAATATGCATAGAAAAAAATTCTAAAATGTTAACAATATACAAAGTTTTATAAAAATGGTAAAATTATGGGTGTCTATATTTTTCATACAATATTTTATAATTGTATTGTGATATTTCAGGGGATATTTTATATCTATAAGAGCAGGTACAGCTTTAACAGTGGTAAAACTATTAGTAAACAAAGAAATTATTTGTGCTTAAAAATCAAAGTCTATTAGCATAGCAGCAATATTTCTCTGACAGAGTTGTCAACAAATTCTTCTAACTTAACTACTATCTTTGTCTGATCTACCCTCATTAATATTGAACTTAATATACAAAAATCAGTATTTGTTACTTAAATAGCAAAGAAAATCTGATTAACTGTACTATTTCTAGAGACTTTTTTAAATGTATTATACTATTGATGGAGAAGCATTATTTGTCATATAACATAGAATCATATCTCTCTAGTGAAGAGTTAAAGAAATGTTTTTCCTAAATAGTTTATATTTGATCTTCTCTAAAATCTTTCAAGTGAAACATAGTGGAACCAACATAATGGAAATAAAATTTAGAAATAAATAAGTAATCTTCTAATCTAGTATTTAGCAACTGTAAACTCTTAAGAACATAATTGACACCTTATTTTAAAATTATAAAATAAATTAATTTGGCTACTTTTGAATTTAGAAACGATATACATACATATTAGTGCGTATATATATATATATAGATAGATAGATAATACAAAGAAATATACATATGTGCATATTGCTATTACTATCATATTGCACAGAGCTGCAACAGAAAAATTCAACAACTTCTTATAAATGTTGCCTAAACTCTACATTTATAATGTAACTACTACTCACTAAATTAGATACTGTGGAAAGTGCTTACTCAATTTTCATGGGCTTTATGAATAATACATGTTAAATAGTCCCAATTCCTCTTATAATCCTTTAAATAAGTATTTCACAGTCTGGTCATGCAGCTTTTTAATTATTTGTCATCATAAACAAGGCAACTGTTTAAGCAATAACAAGCTTTACCTTGATCATTCCCACTCTCACAGTTATCAATTTTGACTACAGATTCTAATTTCTTTTTTATAGAATAAAAAAAGTCAATTCTAATATCTGGGGGGTGGGAAGAATCTAGAACAGTTAATGCTGTGGAGTACAAATTTGATTTTTAGAAGAAAAAGCAAAAAGTAGTTAAGAAACAAAGTGGACAGCTTAAAAATGTGATGTGAACTCCTTACCAAAGGACTGTCATAGAGGAGGTGGGTATCAGTACATTTGTCCCTTAGTTCAATGCATTTGAAGCGAAAGATTCTTATTTACTATTTGGCAGTATGCTTGAGAGAACAGGATCTCGTGTGTTTGATCTTTTTCTAAGAATAGTAAACTGCTTCTCTTTTATTAACTCACCCATTGAGTAATTTTTAAGTAAAATTGATTTAAGTTCACTTTATTGACAGAAAAAAATAGGCATAGAAACATATATAACTGAGCCCAATAGTTCTACAGATACCATGTCTACTCTGTGATAAAGAGCTCAGGCCTTAAAATTTTAATAGGTTGTTTTATTGCCTAAAACTTTGAACAAAGAAAAAAGAAATCACTCAGGTTGGACTAGTTCTGGTGTTGATGGGCAGGAAAATCAGGTTGTAGTTTAGAACAAGAAAAAAGCTGTTCCACAGGTTACCTCTCTTTGGGAGGAAACAAACATCAATGCAAACACAAAACAGATGACTTGGTACCTCTGTGATCTGCTAACTTCCTTCAGGGTGAATTATTTCTCCCAGACTCATGGAAGTTATCCTTTTACCCACTTGTATCATACAACCATAAAGGATGCAATGGAATCACCTAAAAGGAATCTGTTAGATAAGAGGAAACAAAATGCATGTAGAAAATAGAAGGAACAAATAATAATTGTGACAAAAGTTACTATATTTGAGCCCTTACTAAGACCAGTGATTACTAAGGATCTTTCACCAATGTTGTGCTGTTTAATCTCCACAACAATACAGAAATAATTAATAATCTCCATGTCACTGATGACATAACTAACGTTCAAAGAGGTTAAACAATATCCAAATACCATGCAATAGCAAACTCCAGTTTGCCAATTTCAAACTCCACACTTTTTTTAATATGGCAAAAACATTTCTAACAAAGTCAATCATTCTCTAGTGGAATATTTAATTCTACTATAGAAATATTATCTTAAAATTGGTGAGATTTTAGTAATATCTTCCTAAAAACTGCCTCCTGACTCATAGCAACCCTTAGAAGGTGTTGTCTAGTCTCTGCTTAAACAATTTTCTTAATGGAGCTCTCACTACCTCATCATATAACCCATTCTTCTTTAGACAGCTCTTATTGTTTAAAGTGTTTCCTAAGATTCACCTCTGAAAACAATGCAACAGTTCTAAATCTTCTTCTCCACAACAGCCTATAACACCCTTTAATACCTTTTAGATCTTTTGAGACCTCCATGACACATTCCTCCCCACAAATCTCTCAGCATTTCCCAGAGGAAACCTTCCAGGATTTCTCCATCTAGATTTCTATGGATATCCTTAGCTTGCTGGAGTGACCACTTTAACAGCTGGAAGAAGGATGCTAATCAAGGCCGAAAGGCATAATCTTTTTTCTTGTAGGTGACACCATACTTCTATAGCTATGTAAGAATACTGGACTGCTTATTTATTTATTTGCCAATCATATCACAATACTATAGGTTCAAAATGAACTTAAAGTCAATAAAAATTCCTTAGTGTTTTTACCTGCACTCCTTATAAGCCAAATTTTCTCCAGTCTTATTCTTGCCAATTAACTTTTTGTATGAAAGAACAGGACCTATTTATTTCCCCTTTTTACCCTCAGAATCTGTAATCTGCTAAATCTCTTATGCCCCTACCCCATAATATGGGATCACCTGAAAATTTGATCATATGTACTTTCCATAACTTAATTCATACGAACAAAAAAATGCTACAGATAGCCAGGGCCAAATGAAAAACTCTGGGGCTAACTACTGAAGATACACTAACCATCTTTATGATACTTCATAAATTACAAGACATTTTCATAGATATATTCTCATTTAATTCTCACAACTAATCTATGCATACAGTGTCACTGTTCTATATGTGAGGAAAAAGATTGAGAAAGACTGTATGACATGCCTGATGTGACACATCAAATAAATGACACAATAAGATATAAGCCTTAAAGCTTCTGACTATATCCAATGTGATTTTAAAGACAGATTTTTTATAGATAGTGATTAATCTAATCTCTTCACTGTGCCCCCCAATGTTAAGAGAGACTAATAAAGTCAAGAGATATTTTCTACAGACAAAAATCTCACCCAGAAACTGAATTAAAAAACAGATCAAAAGCAGTCTGCTCCAAAAGAAGTGAGGTGGGGTGTTCTTGGCCCCTTTCTTTGTCCCTCCTTGGGCCTCCCCTCAACCCTGGTACCTGTGACACTTTATAGCCCTCAGAGTATAATTGGGGAATCACTAGCCAATGGCATGTCCTCAAACTGAGACATTTTCTAAAAATAGTTTTTCAAATAAGGCTGGCTTGCTCTGCCTTGTTTTTATAATACATTCTAGGCTTTTGTGAGAGATTATCCATCTAGGTGGTTTAATGACCTTTTACATGGGACAGTACACTTTTAAAATTTGAGGATATCTTTTGTTTTGTTTAATTCAAATCTTTATTTTGCAGATGAGGAAATAGCAACCCAGAGAGGAGAAGTAACCCATACAGAATCATTTCATGAAGGAGCAAGGCTGAAGACCCAGACCTAGACTTTATCAGGCAAGTAAATTCTGATTATATCATTGGAGCTTTGCTTTTAGAAATCTCACTCTTTTGATTGTGAGATGGCATCTTTAAAGCAGCCAGCAAACATTTATACACTAGATATAATATTGGCATTTAAGATGTTACAAATAAATAAAATGGGGCAATTAGATTTAGTCATTTGATGTTGAAACAGTGGTCTTAGCTTATGGATACTGCAAACTTCTTTGAAATGTATGCAGAAAAATGTTTATGCAAAATTTGCATGCATTGCAAAGGGTTCACAGGACTCTCTCCCCAAGTCCTTGACCTCCAGGTTAAGAACTCCTAGCCTAAAAGAAGTCAATCCCAGTACAAGTGCCAGTGTTAGAATTGTGTAGCACCAGCTACTGCCTTATTTATGGGTCTGCTGGTTAAAGCCTACTTGTGTTTCAACGTCCTTCATCTTTTATTTAAATGGAGCAGCATCTTATCCTTGAAGACCTTTGGTACAAGAAAGGAATATATGTTTTAATAAGCATTTAATTAACCAGATCAGACAAATTAAGAAAAAATATGGTAAAATGAAAACACTGTTTTACAAAAATATTAACAATTAAAATGAAGATGCTTAGTGTTTATAATAGAACATTCATTTTCTTTCTGGTTCTTTTATTTTTAATAAAGAAATAAAAGGAAACAGAATTACAAAAAACAACAACAACAACAACAAAAAACACCTAGCTATTACTAGCTGCCTGCCCGATTTTATCCAATCTATAGTGAGTGACCTATGGTAAAAGTGACCTATCAGTCAAGGGTAGGGGATGTGCAAAAAGAAGTAGATTTATCTTATGAATGAGTATTTCCTAATCCTCTGCCTTTTGCTACAGTGTTTTAGGAAATTTGTAACTCTGAAATGGTTGGTAATAGTTTTTTCATTTCAAAGTATCTTGGAAAACTTAGTATTACCTTAACATTATTGATAACAAAGTTTGATTTTACTAATTCAAAAATACTTGTTGGATGCGTGGCATTTGTAAAGCACTGTAAGGTACTCAGCAAAGAACAGTTACCATTGAGGTTACTGAAGCCTTTTTGTCTCCTTTATGACAGCCACACCAAAATTGAGTAAACATTCTGAAGAATAACCTCTCTAATACTGGTTTTGAATTTAGTAACCAATAAAAGTTACATGGCTTGCCTTAAAAATAATCCCATTCTCTTTCATTCTTTGCTTTGTAGTCATAATCTAGCAATAGCATATTAGCATAGTGTGGTAGTAATCATAGCAGCTAACATTCACTTAGTTCTTTCCATGTGTTATTCTAAATATTTTATACTTTTTTTTTTTTTTTTTTGAGACGGAGTTTCACTCATGTTACCCAGGCTGGAGTGCAATGGCGTGATCTCGGCTCACCGCAACCTCCGCCTCCTGGGTTCAGGCAATTCTCCTGCCTCAGACTCCTGAGTAGCTGGGATTACAGGCACGCGTCACCATGCCCAGCTAATTTTTTGTAGTTTTAGTAGAGACGGGGTTTCACCATGTTGACCAGGATGGTCTTGATCTCTTGACCTCGTGATCCACCCGCCTCGGCCTCCCAAAGTGCTGGGATTACAGGCGTGAGCCACCGCGCCCGGCCTATACTTTTTAATCATCCCAGCATTTGTGTGAATGAAGCTATCTTATCATTCCTATTCTCCAGTTGGAGAAATTGAGGGTCAGAGTGATTGAGTAACATGGCCAGGGTCACAAAATTAGTAAGAAGAGAGCTGGGATTCGAACCCAGACAGGACCAGAACCCAAGCTTGTAACCACTTCACCATACCACCTGTCAGCAGGATTCTTACCTAGCTCCCTTCATGAGACATTGAGCCTCAGTTTTTTCATCTTTAAAATGGAGATAATTTAAGTGAGGTATCTAGCCATTGCCTACTACACTGGCACTGAAAACTGCTATTTTTGCCAGAGGCAGTGGTGAACACCTATCATACCATCTACTTGAGAAGTGGAAGTGAGAAGGATCACTTGTGTCCAGGAGTTCCAGGCCAGCCTGGACAACATAAGAAAACTCCATCTCAGAAAAAAAAAAAAAAAAAAAAAAAAAAAAAAGTTCTATTCCCTGCAAAGGGTTCACATTAAAAGATTCTACCATGTCTAAGGAAGACCTGTGTATTTGCTTCCTAGGGCTCTTGTAACAAATTACCACAGATTTGGTGGCTTAAAACAACAGTTTATCCTCTGAGTTCCAAAGGCTAGAAGTCTCCAATCAAAGGGTTGGCAGAGCTGTGCTCCCTCCAAAGGCTCTAGGGAGAATTCTTTCTCACCTCTTCCAGCTCTGGCGGCTTCAGGCATTTTTTGGCTTGTGCCTACATAACTCCAATCTCCACCTCTGTCTTCACAGGGCCTTCTCCTCTGTGTCTCTCTTTTAAAAACAGTTGTCCTTGGATTTAAGGCTAATCTGGGTAATCTAGGATGTTCTTTTCTCAAGATTCTTAATTGTACTACAAAAACTCTTCTTCCACAAAGGTCATATTCACTGGTTCCAAAACATTGACACAGCTTTTGGGCGGCTATTATCCAACTTACACAATATCTCAGTATAAGTCTTTTTACGTGTTGGAAGATTCCCTGTGGCATTGGTCCTGACAACAAGCCAGCTTTGTCCAGAGGGAATAAGTCATTTTATCTCACTTCTCCTCTGCTTTGCACAGGAAGTATGTAGGTAGCCGTATGGCTGGAAGCAGGTGAAGGGGGATGAAGCCAGCGGTAATATGTCTACACTGTTCTCAGGAGAATCAGAAATCCATCTGGCTAAATTGTCAATGAGAGTCTTCTTCTTTTAGTATATCATCGCTGTAACTCACGTCTAAGATTATAAAATCTAAGTAATTTAGGTGCCTAAAGCAACATGTTTTGACTGAATACTCCTGAATTTTACTATAAACTTCTACTTTCCCTCCCACATCCCCTCTGTCTCTGTCTCCAGTGTATCTCTGAAACCATCTGACCTGGAATATAGCATTGTAACCCACCAAGCAGGGAAATGTGCCTTGATTCAGGGTTTGGCAAAGAGAGCACCTTATCAGTCCTATGTCTGTCTCTATGGCCTGATCAGCCTAGCTCTCCACTCTTTCCTTTTCCTTTTCTTTTTTTTTTTTTTTTTTTTTTTTTTTTTTTTTTTTAAGACAGAGTCTTACTTTGTTGCTCAGGCTGAAGTGCAGTGGTGCAACCACAGCTGACTGCAGCCTCAGCATCCTGGGCTCAAGTGATCCTCCCACTTCAGCCCCGCAAAGTGCTGGGACTACAGGCAAGAGCCACCACCCCTAGCCTTCACACTTTTCTGTAAAAGCACTAATAACTGAGATACAGAAGCAGATCGACTGAGGGAAATGAAAGGGCAGCAGACTAGATTACTATTGTCACAAAATCACATCTATGAAAGTTCAATGTTGTCAGTCACCAGAATGAGAAAAACACTGACCTCATCACCAGAGCTTTCCAAACAGTGTAATAAGAAATAATTATCAGAAGTGGGAGAGACAGATAAATATGTTTTTTAAAAAGTTTTATAAACATATCTGTTCAATCTTACCCAAAAAAGTGCAAAGGAAACAGGCAATTATTATTATAAAACACTATTGGAAAGGTCTTGGCTAATGAGCTCCTTATACAACCAGATTTGTTTGGCAGAACTCTGAGAACAACGTGCTTCTGACAGATCAATATTGTAGTAACTTACCTTCTTCACCCTCAAATTATTCATTGGATAAAGGTCTTCAGTTGCTGAAGATCCATAAAATATAACAACAATAAGTAGGGATGAGAAAAAGGCTTAATTTTTCATGGTCAGATTTCTAACTCTTAAGAAAAGCAAAGGCCTTAGAAAAAAACATCAAGCAAGTCTTTCCTAAGGCAGTTAAGAATATCATAGAATTCACAATTCCCGCAAGTACTGCAGGAGATTAAGCTATTAGAATTTCACCAAGGCCAAGAATAAACCTAAATATGTCAGCTCTCTTCTCAAGAAGGTTCTTGGGGGTTTGGCAGTTCAAGTTTCCCCCTTATGTCTTGAATACTAAGAAGGGAACCTCAATTGGGGCCTCACAATTATTATTTGAAAAGCTTTGGAGTTATTTGTTTATTCAGCTTTGGATTAAACAATATTACAAATATTGTTCAGACTTTTAAAGTTTATTTTAAAATTTCAGTCCATAATTTTTAGGGTTATTCACTTATTTTTTTAATGTTTAATTGTGTTAAACTATACATATAATTTAACATCTTAGCCATTTTTAAGAGTACAGTTAAATGGTGTTAAGTATATTTACATTGATCTTCAACCAATCTGTAGAATTTTCTCATCTTGCCAAACTGAAACTCTATACCCATTAAACAACAACTCTGTATTTCCACAACTCCCCAGCCCCTGCTAACCACCATTCTTCTGTTTCTATGACTTGACTATTTTAGATTCCCCATATAAGTGAAATCATACAGTTTCTGTGACTGGCTTATTCCACTCTATCAGCAAAGGCTCATCCATGTTGCAGCATGTGCCAGAATTTCCTTGTGTTCTAAAGCTGAATAATATTCCATTGTATGTACACACCACATCTTATTTATCCATCCATTTGTCTATGGACATTTGGATTGCTTCCACCTTTTGACTATTGTGAATAATGCTTCTGTGAATGTGGATACACTTTAATGACTTAGCAAATAACTTTTAGTGGCTTTAAGGCCATTGTTAGCGTTGCAGTTTGTTCACTTTTTGCTTCGAAAAACAAGCTGGCATTCCTTGGCAACAATATATTCAAAAGGAAAAAGCCATTCAGAAGCTATATATTTTCCCTTGTCCTCCTTTATATAACAACAAAGTTTCTTTTCTGTTCTTTTTAAATAAAATAGTTACAAAGAAGCTCATCCTAAGAAATGACATTGTAGCTAAACCTTGACCTAGAAGCCCTACTCTCCCTTTCAGTATAGCCAGAAATAAACAGGGATACTTGCCCTGTTTCTATGTTAGGAAGTGAAAGGACACCAGGAGCAAGACAAGATAGATCATTCCCTTGTTACAAATTTCTCTTCCTACTCCTAATATCTACTCAGCATCAATGTATATGGCACTCTTTTTATTTCCTAAATATATATCTTCTTTTTGATAGCCATACAATATTGAGATTAATCTAATCTAAATTTGGTACTTTCTATGTTATCATGAGAATTTTTCTTAAAGTCAAATTCCAAATTTTCTTTCCCAGCCAGAAGTTTTTCATTGATAAATTTCTCTATCATCTATCAGAGGATGACCAAGAAAAGGACTGCCTTGAAATTGCAGTTGCTCAACACATGCCACATTTCGCAAAAGCGTCAATTCGTAGTTGGAGTAGAAATACATGTTTTTTATTGTTTTGCTTTTGTTAGTGTTAATAAAAATGGAACTCAATAAAGTTAGTTTAGGCCAGGTGTGGTGGCTCACACCTGTAATTCCATCACTATGGGAGGTCAAGGTGGAAAGATCACTTGAACCCAGGAGTCCAAGACCAGCTTGGGCAACAAAGTGCAACCTGCCCTCTACAAAACTGCTTTTTAAAAATTAGCTGAACGTGGTGGCATGGGCCAGTAGTCCCAGCCACTTGGGACACTGAGGCAGGAGGATCTCTTGAGCCCAGGAGTTCAAGGCTGCTGACTGTGATCATGCGTCTGCACTCCAGCCTAAGTAACAAAGCGAGACCTTGCCTCAATAAAAAATAAATATATAAATAAAATAAGATGAGTTCAGGTAGCCACAAAACACTCTGTTCTTGTATATAACATGAAATACTATATCGACAACAGCTTAACTAAACTGTTGGTGAGAGTTTTTCCTTCTAATATACCATTTCAGTAAACTTCCAAGTATAAGATTATAAAGTTTAATTAGAGTAACTTTGTTGCCTAAAGCACCATGTGCTTTGACTTACAATTGTTGGTTTCTTACTCTCTAGGGGGTCTATCAAATTATCCAACTAATGAAAGTGTAGAGAAAGTTCCTTAATTGCCCTATGGTTGTTTGATTTTCTTCCCTAGCTTTGATTCATCATAAATTTTAAAGTTGGTTTTTTTCAGCTCCCTCTAAAAACTTGGGCTCCAAATCCTCACTTACAGTCTGACTTCTGGTATTCACTCTGCTGTCAACATGAGGAATTGGTTGCCAAAGAAAGGCTGGGGAGTGTTCTAAGATTAAAAGGAAATTCTCCCCCCAAAATTTAAAAAAGGATGGAATTTTCTGTGGGGCACAGAAAACATTAGGGTCACCCACAGAAAATGTAGAGCAAGGTATCTGGAAACTGAGAAGCCAATAAACTGTGGTTATGTCTTATTCTTACACAGAAGCAATAGGAGGTTTTGCCATTAATCAGATGAATTTAAACCACATTCATGTATCTGATACAATAAATAATTGTATGTCTTTGTATCTCACAAAGAGTCTTTGAGTTTATGTTAGTGAAATCTTGCAAGTGGTTTAAAGTTTTACCAATCCACAAGTAATGACATGATACTACAGTTGTTGTGACTATTGCTATTACTTCTAAAGAGCCAAAACCCATTCAAACTCTCCTTACTACATCACTCAAACAGGCTTAGAGTCAATTATCTTAATGCTACACATGGAGAAACTGTGACACAAAATGATTTTGGAATTTGCCCAAGGACACAAGTAAAATAAATAAATAGAAAGAGAGAAAAAGAGCTGCAATAAAATTCAGGTCTTCAAGTGTCCAGGTGTTCCCAGCCTGGGGTGTTTCCCATTGGAACCACTTTTCTACCTACCAATCTTAAATTATTACTCACTTAGAGTAAGCACTTCTAAAAGCAATTTTAATGGGATTTAAAACTACATCATAAGTCTTTTTTATGCCCCTGAAGAGTCCATGAACTTTTAACATTATGAGAAAGTAAAAAAGCATTTGTTATATATATATATATATGTATACATATATACATATATATATATTTAAAATTTAGCACCAGCTCTCGTCCATCTTTCAAAAAAACAGATTGTACTGAATTTTCACAAAACAATATGTCTAAAACTCATTGCCTGAAAGCAGACAATGAGAATTCAGAAGCACCTTTTATGATCCCCACATTATGCTGTGGGAATATTAAGTAAGTTCGAGTGTGGTTCCTGCCCTCAACCACCTTACAGCTGAATCAGTCAGTCAACCATCAGACCAGCTCACCAACCAGGCACTGGGGATAACAAGATGAATGCCGTGCATTCCCAGTACCCAAAGCCCTCATAGTCTTGTGGGGAAAACAGACTGTGCATAACTAAAAATGTTGCTACAATGGTAACACATAAAAGAGAGTAATATATTTTCCTTTGCAGGGAAGGGGTCTTGTGAGAATTTTCCATAGAAGAAAGGGTATAGAAGATATGCCTTAAAATAGCTTCTTTAAGCAATGGCTTAAAATAGGAGTTTATCTGGCAGAGAAGGGGCACAAGAAAATTTCAAGAAAAGAAGAGAGCATGAATGAAAACATAGAAGCTTTAGAATGAATGGCATTTAGCAGGAGAGTTAAGAGATTTAACTGGAGAAGCGAAGAAATGAAACTGTGAAGGGCCTTAACCAAAGGTTTTATTTCATAGGAAATAGCCACTGAAAGCTTTAAGAAGAGAAATGAATCTGTTAAGTTTGGACAGTTAATTCTAGCAGCAGTTTAGCAGATTGTAAGGTAAAAAAGAGAAAAGTAGGTAGGCTATTTCATTAGCGTGAGCAACAGATAGGGAGAATCCATAGCACTATCCAACAAAATATTCTGCAATGTTGAAAATATTCTCTATCTCTGCTCTCCAATATGGTAGCCACTAGCCACAGTGGCTATTAAACACTAGACATTTAAATTGCCATGGGTAACTAGTGGCTGCCATATTGAACAATGCAGAGACATCTTAGAGAAGCTAACCCTTAAGCTAATTAAGCCTTAAAGAAGGGTTTTTCCAACTGCAGGTTGCAATTAGAAGAAAATAACAAAATAAGGTAGAATTAACTAGAATAGACAAGAATAAATATAATAGAACAGAATAGAATAAAAATATCATCATGCATTGCAAAGTATTGTTCATTTCAGTTATGTGACACACACACTTTGTGTGTATGTGTGTGTGTGCGTGTGTATACCATAGGTCACAATGTAAAGTGCATTTTTGCTCTCTGTTGTGTTTCAGAAATTTTAAAAGCCAGTCTCTTATACAAGGATATTACTCATCTATGTACATAGTTATTGGGAAAAGTTTTCAAGATAGGAAGAAAAGCACAAGCAAAGTTCACTGGAGTTTAGAATAGGATAACTCTGGACCTTTGAAGACTTTCATAATTATTCTTTTCTCCTTTGAATAGACTTCAATGTTTAGGGCAGTTATAGATTTACAGAAAAATAAAGAAGACAATACAGGGAGTTCCCATATACCTTGCATCCAGTTTCCCCTTTTAAAATCTTACATTAGTATAACTTATTCATTATAATTAACGAGCCGGTATTGATATACTAATATTAACTAAAGTTCTTACTTTGCTCATATGTCCTTAGCTATTACTTAATGTATCTTTTCTGTTCCAGGATTCCATTGGGGATACCACATTACAGTTAGTCATAATGTCTCCTTAGCCTCCTTTGGCTGTAACAATTTTTCACACTTGGCTCGTTTTTGATGGCCTTGAGAGTTTTGAGGAGTGCTGGTCAGGTATCTTGTAGAATGCTCCTCTATTGAAATTTGTCTGCTACCTTTGTCATGATTAAGCTGGAACTATGTATGGGTTACTGAGAAGAAGACCACAGAGGTAAAATGTCTTTTTTTGACATCATATCATGAAGACATATTATCAACATGATTAATAATGATTGATGTTGGCCTTGATCATCTGGCTGAAGCAGGGCTTATCAGTTTTCGTCACTGTAAAGTTACTCATTTTTTATCCCCCTTTCCATGTTGTATTCTTTGGGAGAAAATCGCTATATTCCTAATTTTTTAAATAAATGAATTATTCAGTTAAAGGAAGGCTTGTACTTGAGTATGTCATATTAAGCTGTTTCCAAAGAAAGCTACTGTGACTACAGAAACAGTCTCTTTTTAGATACAGCATCTCTCTCTCTGCAACTGGCAGGACACTTCTATCACTTCTCAGATTTTCAGGTTCCAAATATGAAGCGCACACACACACACAAATGAAGCTGAGTGATTGATGTAGAGTTCCAAAGTGAGATGAGAAGGAGTTAACCCAAAAATCAACTATAGGTCCTTCTGACTTTTGAGTCCCTGATACTGATATTCTAGAGGTAAATTTAACCCAAAATGTATTAAGTCTTTTCTTTTTTCCCAACAGAATAGCTACTTTTCTGAATGGGAAATTTCTTAATGAGAAAATCTAATAACTTGGAGTATTTTTTTTTTGGCAGGGGAGGGCTACAGGATCACATCTTCTGCAATACTGCCAAGGTAAATGCCACTGCACCAAATCATCTGCTACTCCTCTTTCATTGCAGTTGCCTAGCTTCCTGCCAGTCCTGTTCCCCAAAACAGAAAACAACAACAAAGAGCTCCCTGAGCAAGCTCAGCCGCCACTTTTCCTGCAAGCTCCCTTCAACAGTGTTCACATTCCATGACTCATACACTAGTGTTCGTGTTACCACATGTGTTTTTTTTAAATTGTTACATTTATTCACTTTATTCTCCATCCAAGCCTGAACTAAGTCCTGCCCCTGAGTAATATGAGTCATGAGTCTCGAATCTTCTCCCTCTCCATCTGAGAGAGGAGATGTAACTGCATCTCCTTCACTGCACACAAATCTAAAATGACAGGAAAATGATCACTCATTGATAAAAGAGTAGTAACAATCAGAAATAAGAAATATTCATTTACTCTGCATTCCCAGTTATGACATAACCTTTTAGTGGACTTCCAAGACAGAAACATTCAGTCTTCAGCAGGTATTATCACACAGTCTCAGCATGTTAGAGTTAAACTCTATCCAGACCACTGTACCCTGCCTGAAGATATATCACAGTCTCCTTAGGAGTGCTACCTTTGAATACACACTCTCATTAAAGTTCTAAGAGCAATTTTAAAGTCATCAAGTTTAGAGGAAAAAAAATTTTTTTAAAGAATAAACTACCCTCTCCTTCTTTTCCATATATCAAAAGTTACCTTTTCAAAGCACATAACTAAAAACAGGAGATGCATGGTGTGCCTGAATAAAGTAAGCATTTCAAGTTCTGGGTTTAGCTTTGCTGAGATATAGCACTAGGTCTCTAAGGAAGTGGACAGATTAATATCACATTTCATTGTGAACATTTAGGACTTTAAAATATTTGCTGTCATCTAGTTCTAGGTTATCTGTGGATAATTAATTTCATGATATTTCTGTCATCTTACGTCCTCACATGCAGCCTCTTTTTCTAGCTTTCTTCTTAGCATTATTCCATGTCCTTTCCTCCCACTTATTGCTCATTCCTGGACCCTAGATCACTGCATGTTGTTACATGGTCCAGTTTGCTGCTTCCTGGAAGAGTGTCTCCTGCCTGTAATGCCTTTGAGAATAGAGTCTTTCTGAAGCCATTAATATTCAGAAGGAGCCACACAGTAGTACCCAAAATGTATTTATTCATTGAATGAATGAATTCTCCTAACCACATTACTCATCAAATTGTCGAAGTGGTTTTTTTCTTTTAATTTTGTATATAGTCCTATAGGAGATAAGAAAGTCGACTCACAGAAGGTAGAAATATATTACCTAAGCAAATCTAGAACCTAAAAATAGTATGTATTCTAACAATAGATTGTAGCAGATGGTTCACCAATAATAACCAAGGTTCTCTCTTCTCACCATCTCATAATAAGAAATGACAAATAAACTGTTTTTAAAATTGCGTCTCATCAATAAGGGGGAAATGAATCAAATAAAAAGAGACAATCAGGGCTTTCAAGAGATGCTTTCCACATGTCAGATCTGGCTACTTAGAGGGCTGAGACTGTGGAAACTGGCAAGGAAAAAAAATATTTTAAATCTTAACTGCTTAAATTGTTAGCAGTGCAAAAGTACATTTAAAATGGCCAGATATAAAGTCATTGCAGATTTGAGGTATCTGTGACCAAGGTCTTTCCATGTATCCAGTGTTGGTGTTATACATGTTGGTGTGCTTTTATCTGTTGTTTTTTTGTTTGATTGATTGATTGATTGATTGGCTTTTAGCAGTTTAAAACAATAGACAGTAATTATCTTAAAGTTTCTATGGCTCAGGAATCTGCATACAAATTAGCTGGGTACCTCTGGTACAGGGTCTTTCTCAAGGCCATGGTTAAGGTGTTGGCTAGTGCTGCCCAAGCAAGGAATTCTAATTTTAACAGAGAAAGCAATAGCCAGGAGATTAATCAATGCATTTTTTTAAAATTTAGGGTATTTTGTTTTGTTTTTGCCAAATTTCACTATGTTGCTCAGGCTGGACTTGAAATCCTAGGCCAAAGGGATCCTCCAACGCTGGCCTCAGCCTCTCTAGTACCTGAGGCTACAGTCCTGTCCCACCGTGCCTGGTTTAATTCATGTTTTTTGTTTGTTTGTTTGTTTTTGAGATGAAATTTTGCTCTTACTGCCCAGGCTGGAACGCAATGGCAAGATCTCAACTCACTGCAGCCTCTGCCTCCCAGGTTCAAGTGATTCTTCTGCCTCAGCCACCCAAATAGCTGGGATTACAGGTGCTCACCACCCTGCCCAGCTAACTTTTTGTATTTTTAGTAGAGACAGGGTTTCGCCATGTTGGCCAAGCTGGTCTCCAACTCCTGACCTCAGGTGATCCACCCACCTCAGCCTCCCAAAGTGCTGGGATTACAAGCATGAGCCGCCACGCACAGCAATTAGTGCATTTTTAAAAGCCATAACCAGGCCAGGTGCAGTGGCTCATACCTGTAATCCTAGCATTTTGGGAGGCAGAGGCAGGCAATCACCCAAGGTCAGGAGTTTGAGATCAGCCTGGCCAACATGGTAAAACCCCATCTCTACTAAAAATAAAAAAAAAAAAAAAAAACAATACTGGGGCATGGTGGCATGCTGCTGTAATCCCAGCTACTCAGAAGTCTGAGGTAGAAGAATCTCTTGAACCTGGGAGGTGGAAGTTGCAGTGAGCCAAGATCACACCACTACCTTCTAGCCTAAGTGACAGAGCGAGACTCCATCTCAAAAATAAACAAATAAATAGCCACAACTTATAGAGAAAAAGTTAATAATATTTCTAAATAAGCAATATTATCTCATTTGCAAAAGTGAAAAAAGCATTAAGAATATTTTAAACAGAGTCTCATTATACTGTTGATTCTAAATGAGTAATGCCCAAGGGAAAAGTAGAGATACCGATTTTCTGAAATAATTGAGCCCCCAAATCCTTTCAACTTGGCTTTGGAATGCAGCATTACCACGTGAGCTTAAAGCCTCCTCCTCTCAAACCCACCATAGCATTACCCTAACTCAGAGGTTAAAGATAAAACCTACCCAACTAGGCCCTGTAGCTCCTGGCCTCACTCTGGCCATTCCTGCCTCTTTAGTGTCATCTCGCTCCCTGCTCCCTCCCTGGCCCCTCAAAACCAACCTACTTCTTCCCACCTCCAGCCTTTGCACAGGTTGTTCCCTCTGTCTTGGCTGTTCTCCCCACTTCTCTGTCTATTCTATCCGTTTGACTCATAAAGCTTCCTTGGAACTTATCTCAAAAGTCTCTTCCTCAGAGCTGTGCTCAGGTTTCCCACAGCCCCTTATATATGGTATTCTTCCCATAAAGCACTTAAAGCCTGTATAAAAGAAGGCTTTGCACAGAGTCAGCCTTTTGCCCTTCCATCCCTTCTGCTATGTGAGTACATGGCATTCAAGTTACCGTCTTAGAAGCAGAGACAGGGAAGTGCCCTCACCTGACACTGAACCTGCTGGGCCTTTTCTCTTGAACTTCCACCCTGAAGAACTGGGAAATAAATATCTATTATCTATAAATTTCCCAGTCTAGGATATTTTGTAATAAGAGCACAAACAGACTAAGACACTCTCCTTCTGTCATTCATTTCCTCCAAGACCCAACCCTATTGACTTTTACTCTTTCTGTGCAGCCAGAGCTGGGAGAGAAAAAGAACATTGGAGGTAAATTATCACTGATGTTCACCTACCAATTTAAGTTCCATAATATAAGTTATTGAAATAATTTAAATCAAATTACTTAGTTCTTAGTTCTTACTCTGGCTTCTAGGAAAGGTGGGAGGCTGGCTGACTTTTCATTCCAAAAGAAAGTCAGAATGCTTCAGTTTTGTATTATCTATCTGGCTGGATTATCTTAGCCATTATTACAGATCATTGTGATCTGATCACACATGGGCTTTCCATTTTTAATTTGTGAAAACAATCCTAGTCAAAATGTATTACTTCTTATGAAAGCCTAGCTGTATGAAAATCAATAATAGCTAAATGTATCCTACTTAGATTGAGACTATAAGTGCTCTATAATTATTTATTTAAGTTGATTACTTGTTATTCATTCATTTACTAATTCCTTCAGCAAATACTTACTGATGACTATCTTGGTGATATGCATGGTTCCAGCATCCACTATACAAGGATCAGTGAGGGTTTCCCCATAGCCTAAGGAGTCCACAGTCTTATATTATGAAAGCATCTTGCTTTTCCTCAAAAGAAAAAAGAAACATTTTCAGGTCAGAAGATAGAAATTATCTTTAAAAATCCTAACTGTACTTGGAATAGTAAAAGTTATCAAAGTGGACTTTGATGATATGGCACCATGTTATTCTTAGGAGTGAGCAAAAGAGGCACAAAGATGAGCCTATATTTTCAGAGACACCCACCACTATGCCTATGAAAGTCTCCGGAATCTCCCAGGAAGCTTTTTTTTTTTTTCATGAGACAGAGTCTTACTCTGTCGCCCAGGCTGGAGTGCAGTGGTGCAATCTCAGCTCATTGCAACCTCGGCCTCCCAGGCTCAAGCCATCCTCCCACCTCAGTCCCCCAAGTAGCTGGGATTACAGATGCATGCCACTACACTAAGCTAATTTTGTATATTTTAGTGGAGATAGAATTTTGCCTTGTTGGTCAGGCTAGTCTCAAACTCCTGGCCTCAAGTGATCCGCCCATCTCAGCCTCCCAAAGTGCTAGAATTACAGGCATGAGCCACTGTGCCCAGCCCCCAGGAAGCTTTCTACAAAATGACTTCTTTCTGGGAAGTTTTAGTTATGGTTATAACTGTGGTCATATCTGAAGGCCAATTAAACACTAATGTGGATTTTATAAGTTCTATACTAAAAAACCAGAAGGCCACCCAAAGTTACACTTAGAGCTCCCCATTTGTTTTGGGGAACCATAAGACCACCCACATGTCCAATGATTCATAGAAGGACTTGTGGGACTCAACATATATTTATCCACACGGTATTTATTCATGGGCACATCAGAAGCATGTACATGGATTTCTCTAGATTCTGGAGCACTCTCCACATAAGTGTTCCTTTCTCTACCGGCAAAAACTGCAGTAATGTATGTATAGCTTCTGTCCAGGGAGACCCATTAGAACGAAACTCAGCATCCAAAGTTTATACTGGGGCTGATCATGTGGGCACACTTTGCTTGGCAATTACCAAAATTCCAGAGTACCAGAATGCAGTAGCCATTCACTATAAATTGCATTGCTTTTACAGGCTAGGTACAGTGAATCTTCCTTATCTATTAAGAAATGGAGAGAATATTCCAAAAGCCAAGTTCTCAGATGCCAGCCAAGGACTAAGCTTGCAAGCATGCCCTGCTGAAGATTAGTAACCTTGGGCTTGCTATACTATTTCTTCTGTGCACACCGTTTTTTAAATCTTCTGCCAGAATATATACTGTAGGAAATAGAAAAGTTCGCTTATATTTATCTTTGTATATGTGGCTCTGGAAAATGAGGCTAACCTCAATTTTTAGGTACTGTTATCACTAAAGTTTTTTCTAGCAATTATCATATTTAGATATTACTGTTACTAATACTATTATTGCTACCAATTTTAGTAGTAATTATTAGTAGTGGTGACTATATGTATCATTAATATATTTTGTACTATTTTATAGAATATTCAAATATTAATAATCTATTCAATAATCTTTAACAAATCTTTGAAAGAGATTAACATGCTGAGATCATGAAATTTTAAAGAGATTCTGTGTTTGAATTAGAAGATTCCTTATCTTCTAATCTGTTACATTCTTTAACAGGACAAACTTACTGCAGCTTGAAGGAGACAACCATGGATTTGAGGCGTGTGAAGGAATATTTCTCCTGGCTCTACTATCAATACCAAATCATTAGCTGTTGTGCTGTTTTAGAGCCCTGGGAGCGATCTATGTTTAACACCATCTTACTAACCATTATTGCTATGGTGGTATACACTGCCTATGTCTTTATTCCAATCCACATTCGCCTGGCTTGGGAATTTTTCTCAAAAATATGTGGATATCACAGTACAATTTCTAATTGATCTTGTTCACATTCTGTGAAATAGCATTGCATATTTATATGTTGCTTACAATTCATTGATTTAGGTAACTATTGTGTTTTCATTCACTGTCTGACCTGAAAAGCACTCTCTTCTCCATGCACTGTTATATTCTGCCTTCCGCCTGGAGTTTGAAATAGATGTCTTTTTAGTTTCTTTCACAAATGCTACATTGTGCATCAGACCATAGATAATACAGTGACTTTACCTCACATACCATATTCTCTCAACACAAATCTATGAATTTAGTTTATTTAAAATCGGAACAATTCCTACAAAATTTTTCTGGAAAACAGGCTCATAACAGAACTACCAGAATCATACTTAAAGTGCTCCCTTGATGCTTATTCTATGCTGACGGATATATTTTAAAAAATCTTTATAGGCCACTGTCAGAAGTATCTTATCCTTGTTTACGATGTACAAAAAGATGTGAATAAATTGTGTGGACCCCCTAAGTCTTATTTTCTAGTAAACTGATGATACTTTTACTTCAAATGCAAAAGAACAAGCTGGAGGCAGTTATACTCCTTCATACACTGTTCATGAATTGTTTTAAATGCTTCTTAAAGTCTGGCTTTATAACCGTTTAAAATCAACAACGTTGATTTTAGATAACCAAGTAAGTATTATAATACAAAATAATTTTAAGTGTAAGAAACAAAAGTATAATCAAAGTAAATTCAGATATTGTGATTTGTGGTGTTGCCTTGCCTTGCATGATGCTGGGGGAAAAAGAGAAAATAAATTTTCTTTTTGTGCTTTTATTCAGTAGACAGGAGAAAAAAGAATGTATTGGGCTACAGGAAGAAAAGCTAATAAATAGGCTGGAAGTAATATTCTACCAGCAGGAACTCAACAGCTCCAGTTAAGTGCTTTGATATAGTGGCTCCTTTGCAGAGCCAAAGCAAGATTTTTAAAATTTCCTTCAAAGTGTTTATCTTTAAAACAAATATAAGGTTTTAATTATACTGCTGAAGCAAATGTGAATGCCAAAGACTAAGTTTTGCAGTTTTGCTTTCCTCCCAACAAATATTGATGTATGTCATTTTAGAGGGTAAAAATGTAAATAGGGTTGAACAATATTTGCACCCTTGTTTGTGTTATGAAAAAAAGTTTTCCAAGGAGAGCTAGAGAGAAAGATGTTTGGCATGCCAAATTAACTTGCATGTTTGTTAAAAAAGCAAACACATGTTTTGAAGAGAAACCAGATCTGAACATGTATTTGTTGAGTTTTGCAAAATAAAATTAATTTTGTAAGTAAATATCTACTTCCAGATTTACTTTATTTCATATTGCACTAAATATCTAGGTGGTACATTGCATATTTCTCCCCAGTTTATCAATTTTTAATAATCCAATATGGTAACTGATCTTAAAATGGCAACATAAGCTAACATGTATCAAGGAACTTCTCCATACTGGACACATTTTCCATGTTGGAGTAGGTATAAAGGTCTTCCACTTACAGGTAAAGAGTCTGGAACTTGAAAAAGTTACATTTCTTGTTCAAGGTCGATTAGCTACTAGTAGCATAGCAAGGATGCAAATCCAGGTCAGGACCACACTGGGCCCTGCAAATATTTGGCACATGAAAGCCTGGAGGAGGACAAAATGAACAAATGAAAGTTGATGGGATGAGTGTCACCAACGTCAGAAAGTAGAACTCCATCAAATAAAAGGAAGGGCATAAGGAGACAGCCCAGGTTAGAGGCATGATAATCTGAAGTCCCAGCTGTCACCTTTGCTGCTGTACTTGGGATGTTATGTTCACCCATTTTTATGCTTCCAAGGCCCACATGCCTATTTTGAAAGATTGCTTTTGCTTCTAAATAATTAACAGAGAATTCTCAGTTAAGCATCAACTTGGATGCATTCCCAGTTCATAATGATTCAACACCCTTATATACATGGACCCCTGCTAAGTACTCTTGGAATTCAGTCACAAAGATACTGCAATGACCTTCTTAAAAAATCCTCCTTCTAAAAATAAGAGTTAAAATAAACACGAATAGACACAGCAAAGCTTAATAAAAAATTATTTCAAAGCACCGCCCCAGGATGTCACCTCAAAGGTGTTTCTTCTGCACGGTCAAAATAATAAATACAGAGTTCAAAAAACATAATCAAAAATAGTTTGGGGAAAAAAACCTACCAGCGTATAGTGGGAAAAAAGAGGAAACGTTACCTTCCCTGCTTGCTAAGTTGATTTTCTAGACATGGCAGAGTCATTCTTTACCTTGACCACAGTTTGCCTAGATTAAAAACACTTTTCATGTGTTTTTCCTTTGTTCCCATTACTTGGATATTTCAATAACGTGTACATAGCTTTAAAAACAAGAAAGGCCAAAGGTTCCATGGTTCTGGTGAGCTTGCATTTGTCCCTCACCAAATGAGAAATTATAAGATGTTCTTTCCCTGGTATTGGCCAAGTCAACAATTACTCTTATCTACCTGTGCAACAACAACAAAAACAAAAATACAAAATGCCAAGATATGAGGCAGTTTTAATATCAAGATGGGACTAATCAATCTTTATTAAGTTGTTTGTTAAAAAAATATCACTCATTGACATTTTCTATTTTTTTCTTCTTCCATCAGAAATATATTTAGATCCTCTAACCGGGGTGATCTTGGAAGGCAGATTTATCCTTGTTTCTGAATTCCCTGGTACAGGGCTTAGCAAATTCCCACCCAAGAGGATTATGTAGCTCCCTCTACAATGTGACCACAGAAAAACAAAGAAGCTCAGTGTCTATATTGGGCCAACCTCAATACGGACAGTCCCAGCTATGGACCAAAACAGTAACATTCATTCAGTTACTCAATAAATTTATTAAAAGTCAACCATGATTAATGGATAGATAGAAGGATGGAAAAATGAAAAAAATACGTGATGAAAATATAATAGTAGAAACTAGATGCTAGGTATATAGGTATTAATTGTAAAATTCTCTTAACATTACATTTGACATGGTAAAACCCCAATCCATACTAAAATACAAAAAATTAGCCAGATGTGGTGGCAGTGGCACACTCCTGTAGTCGCAGCTCTTCAGAGTTAAGGTGAGAGAATCACCTGAGCTTGGGAGGTCAAGGCTGTAGTGAACTGTGATCCTGTCACTGCACTCCAGACTGGGTGACAGAGTGAGACTTGTCTCAAAAAACAAACAAAAAATAAATAAATAAAAATAAAAAACAGGAGACTAAAGTATGCCACCCCAAAATATATTTTGTATATTTATAGCTGTTTATTTTGATAAACTGCATATACAAGTGTAGCTCTGAAAAACTGCCCTTTTGTAAAAAAAAAAAAAATAGTATTAATAAAGGAAATCTACATTTGTAAATGTATCTGTATCAGAAAGAGGGCTGCTCCCCTGGCAATATTTTTTAACCTGACAGATTTTTTATGTGCATAACAAGGCAAGCTTTATCCAGCATACATTTTCTCCCCTCACGCTCCCATAACTTCTCTTCACCCCTGCCTCCAAAAGCCCCAATTCCCTATTCCTTTCTGTAGTTTAGGGTGCTATATAAGCGTCAATCATCTGTCCCTTCATTAACTCTCCTGTGTTTTTAAAGCTCCCGTGCATATGTACATAATTAAATATGGTTTTTCTCCTATTAAAAAAAACATTATGTTTGAAATTTTTTAAAAAAAAATATAGTGAATAAAAGCCTACCATGTGCTAGTCTTTGGGCTTAGTACTAGAAAATGAAAATGAATGAGACAGAAACAGAAACACCTCTGGATTTATTAGTGATACTATCTGGTAGGCAAGATAACAACAACAATAAAAATACAAGCAAGCACAACATTTACGAAATGTGATAAAGCTTAAAAAGAAAAACACTAGAATGTTAGAGAGACAGTGACAGGTGGTTGGGGATGATGAAGCCCTTGGGACAAAGGGAACATATTTCTTCCACCTGCAGTAGAGCAAGATCCAAACTTCTTTCATTACGGGACTCTAAGGAGGGGGGTGATATGGAAGGAATGTGATGTCATTTATACTGTAAGGTGATGGCATTGGCTGTGGTGTAAGAGTGGATGAGTCAGGGACATGATTTACCACCATAACCTGTTTTGGGCCATAATCCAAGTCCCCCATTCTTTCTGTAACCTAAAGATGGCATATAAGCTTCTGTACCCCCACTGGGGTGTTGGGGGTAATCACTCTATGATTCTTCTCCATTCACATTAATAAATGTGTATGCCATTTCTCCCATTAATCTGCCTTTTGCCAGTTGATTTTTCAGTGAACCTTCAGAGGGCAAAAGGGACATTTTTCCCTTGGCCTTTAGACTGTCAAAATGTAACGCCCTGAAACCCTGCTTATCTCTCGCACCTTATCATGCAAAGGCAATACCTTCCTCCCAGTCCTGAGTTATATTTACCAGAGCCAGAGAAAGTACCTGGCTCCAAAAAGGGAAAATGAGAAGTCCATCACCCACATATGCATATTCTGTATCTTTCAGGTGTTGTTTGCCTCAGAATTATGCAGGCATTCCTTCTGAAGAGCACAGAGAACATAGCACATGGTTTTTTTGCACTGTGTATTCTCATAAAAGCTCACTAAACGAATGGATTTATGAATAAATTAAGCCCTTTTACAATTCCAGAGTAGAGGTATTGAGTCATATTGCAGGCATGATTTGCCACTAGCATTTTTATAAAGTCACTCACCTAAGGTAAGTTTTTAAAAATCTGATGGAGGTTTTGAGAGACCCTTGTCCCTCTTCAATCTCCTACCAATTATTTATTCTCTCCTGCTCCTGTGTTTACTCTCACAGCAATCCCTACATAAGCATTTTTTTTTAAAGAGAGGAAATTATTTAAAAAGTTAATTGATGCATCCATAAAGATCTGCAACTGTTTTCTCCTCAAGTACTGGACCACTGGTTCTTATCTCTGGCTGTACATTAGAATTGTCTGGGAGCTTTAAAAACTACCAATGCCTGGCCCAGACCACAGAAACTCAATTGAAACCCCAGAAGGGAGTGCCCTACATAGTCGTTCAAAAAACTCCCCAGATAATTCTAATATGTGGGCAAGATTGAGAACCAATTTAACAGGCTTTTAGTGAATGCCGATTAAATCACTAAAATCCAGCATCAAGCTGGATACTCCTCTTACTCCCTTCCACTTGTCAGGCTTGCCGAACATGTGTATAATATGATCAAGGCACTATTCTTTCTCTAGATATAGTTTTGATCATAACAAACACTTCCTTACTGTTTTTCAGTAAAAGTACTCAACACTCCCATAGGAGCTTGAAGTGCTTAATAGTTAGCATCCCACTCCCTGCTGGATTTTGTTCCACATAATGATGTCTTCAATCATTTTATCATGCATCATTTAAGAGCAATAAAATAACACGATTTACACTTACAGGCATGAAGCTCTAAAGGACACTCGGTCTGCTGCTGATGAGCTTGGCAAAGCGCTTTCATTTGCAACCTGAACACAAGATTGTGTCTCAATAATTTGGTTAAGTAAGATAAATAGTGCCATCAGCACTGCTGCAGAGCATGCAAAGCTTTATGCATTTCACAATAATATCACAATAGGGCACCTCATGGATGAATGAGTGTACCTTTCTTCCTTTTGTTTTTAATTATTTGCAGTTATATGTATTTAATGTGATATATATATACACACGTGAATGCGTATGTATACACACACATATATATACACACACATATATATATCATCCAGTGTTATGTATATACACACATATAAGTGCATGTGTCTTTTTGGTAGAATGATTAGTTTTCCTTTGAGTACATACCCAGTAATGGGATTCCTGGATCAAATGGCAGTTCTATATTTAGGTCTTTGAGAATACTACAATCTGTATTCCATAGGGGCTGAACTAATTTCATTCCCACCAACGGTGTGTAAACATTGTCTTTCTCCTTATCCTGACCAACATCTGTCATTTTTTGAGTTTTTACTAATAGCCATTCCAGCTGGTGTGAGATGGTATTTCATTGTGGTTTTAATTTGCATTTCTCTGATGATTAGTTATGATGAGCATTTTTTCATATTTTTGTTGGTTATTTGTATGTCCTCTTTTGAGAAATGTCCGTTTATCTCATTTGCCCACTTGTTGATGGGGTGTTTGTTTTTTTCTTGTTGAGTTGTTCAAGTTCCTCAGAGACTCTACATACTAGACATTTGTCAGATGCATAGTTTGCAAATATTTTGGCAGAAAATTTTAGTTAGAGACTAAGATAAACAAGTGATATGGATGATGGA